CTGCAACACCAGTCACCCCAGTCTGCGCTCTCAGAAATCCTCCAAATGGGTCGTTCTAGCTTCAGGTGGTTAGAATCAAACCTGTACTGTGTTGTGTGACATGCTAACTACACCACTGTTAGCCAAAACGCTACAGTCCCAAACACCACAGAACACGTTCGATTTCAGTTTTCTGTCACTCCCAACAGCACTCACTCCACTTTTACTCTCTCAGACATTTTTTTCCACTTTTACTCTCTCCGTCAGGTTTTATCAACACGTTCTGTGGTGAGCAGAGATGTTATCTTGCTAGCTGAGCTAACGCTAACCAGCTCCTCCTAGTTAGCATCACTGTTTAACAATTATCTGTTGTTAAATAGCTGAATTGGCATTCATTGGATGATGGCTTGTAAATCATGAACTGCGCTCACTTATTTGGTGACAGTAAGCAAACTAAACTGATTTCTATTTTTTTTTTTTTAATAAAGCAGGACGAGACGGCACAAAAGCAGCGGAAACGCTTTTTCATCACTTACGACGCCACCCCTGCAGCCCCCCCACCCAGTTAGACTGTATACAATAGTGATATTTGGAAACAGTGTGAAAGCATGAAAAAAGTAGACACCACCCAACCCTAATGGTAGATTACATGTGGCTCGAAAAACACTAAATTTGTACTATTCAGGATAGACAAAAGCTAATGTTGCTAGCAGTTGCTAGTATCTTTCAGTTCAGTGATACCAAGCTGATTTAGTGACTGAATAAAATTTAAAGTCTTATTTTAATTTGTACAAGTACAGTGTAAAACGAGCTTGTATTTGTTGTTTTTCGGAGCTTTTCTGCGATACTTCCTGTGTGGACCATTAGAAACCATTAGGGGTATATCAGCTCACTGTACTACCTGCAGCTGGATGCTACGTGATGCTACATGGCACAGCGTAGGGCTACGCACGATTCTGGCCTCTTGGCGCTGGAACAGGGAAGTCGGAATTTCCTAGTTCCCAATAGGAAGTTTCAACCGGAACGCCCCCACAAGTCAGAGTTCCTACTCGGAAACTCGGAAGAGCCTCACCAACCCCGACCTCAAAATCCAAAATGGCTGCATCAACAGTAAGTAAAAGCTGTGGTTTTACACTGTTTATTAGCATTAATGTCTCTTTGTGTCTAATTAAATAAGTCATACATGCAGTGCTGTCCAGCGTCTGTCTGTGGACGTGTTGATACAGTGTTTGGATTTACAAAATACTACGTGATGCGTAGTTATCAACTGACACAACAAAGCTTTTCTCCAAAGCGTCCATTTTGGTTTCCAAATTGTTTTACTGGAACGCAGTTAGCTCGGGTGTGACGTCATTCCTGGCTCCGACCTCCAACTTCCGAGCTAAATGG